TTGGGGGAATTTTCGAGCCGCAGGAATTTTTTCGTTATCAAATTTCTTGTATGATTTTCTTAGGCCATAGCATGAATTTTTTTCTCATTTAATTTTCCCTTGGGAGAATATTTTTTTTGTACTTCGCCCGCCCACCCCATTAGTTTTCTAATGATCCGTCCCTAAGAGAGTGTCCATGAGACAACCAGGCAGGGGATGACGTAAAAAAGACTATCACCACAACCTCATGAAGCCAAACAAGTTTAACTAAAGTAGCGGTCGTCTGTTTAATTTATTTAAAAACTTGATTATTTCTCATATATTTGCTAGATACCAGACAATTGAAATTATTTATCAGATATCACTAATATTGCCTTTTCCATATCTAGCCGATTTTTTGAAAACCAACCCTAACGAAATGTGTGGTCATTTGAGTGAAAAGGCGTCAAAAGGCAGGTTTATTAAGCCCGAGAATCTCCAAAATCACAGTAACGAAGTAAAAGGAAAGGAGAAAAAGAAAGAGCAAGAAGAAGGAAAGGAGGAGAAGAAAAAAAAGCAATGGTTGCACTCTTAGTTTTTATAATAGCTACTTTGGCATAAAACAACTGTTCGATGCAAAAGGTCCATTTGGCGACAACGTTATCAAAAATCCGGCTAGATATACAATCATGCAAATCATGTATCTGGGTAATTTTTACGTACAATTGTTTAAATCTCTACTCTTACTATTTTAAACATACAATATGACAGAACAGTGTTAACCACTTCAGTATATACGTATATATGCTCTTTGCACTATTAAATTGCTTAAAGTCTCTTTAGATTAATGTCGAAAGGATGTTTCAAAGCAAGAAAATCATAATAGCATATCCGCGGTTTTAAGCCATTAACGTGTTATTAGTCTCTTTGCATCGTTCACAGTGAACATTTCCTGATAGGGACCTGCCCACTTAGCAAACACTATCAGTAAAGAAGGAGATGAAATCGGGAGCTGATTACCATGAAATGTATGTACATATATATAGTTTTTTCTATTGTGCCCACCACCATTATGATTGAAGGAAGTCTGATTTGGATCCAGCCGTTGACTTTCAAAAGAAATTTCAACACATAGCGTTAAGACCACACGACGTCAAAAAATTCTTAAATGGCGGTGCGCGGAAAAATCTGAGCGTAAAAAAGCAATATGGAGATTCCCTGTCGTCAACATTTGATTTTTTTTGGCTGGCTGGATCGAAAGTGGTATAGAGCATGATCATCATACAAGTACTAACTTAACGGGGATATCTAGATCTGTAGCTAATCCTGCTATAATTATTCTCATTTCTGAATGCGGCTAAACATTTCACTGAAATCTACTTAGATTAGAGTGTTATCGGTTTTGGTACCCTAATACCTTACACCTTCCCGGAATTCCTGTCAACAAAAGAACCAACGCGAGGCTCAGGTGACGATGATAAGAATGTCCACTAGAGACTCGGCCTCTTTTCTTGCTCACTGGCGTGGAATGAGGGAATAATTCAGTAATTATTAGATTCGGGATTCGGCATTCGTATGATCTGAAGAATTATCCAGATCCTCGAGGGCATTTGTTTAATCTTCCTGGACCGATAACACCCTCTAAGATCTGCATAATCCAATAATTTTTAGTTATTGATAATTCAAAAAAATAATTCTGACATACTTCAAATCATTAAGCTTACCTCGATCGATGTAAAGTTCTGGTCTTCATTTGTCTGTCCCTCGGCAAATTCAGATGATAATAGGATGTTTACTTAAGTCTAAGACTTTAGTTTTGGAAGCAAGGAACAACGTTACAAAAAATTAAGAAGCGGATCCCAACAGAGGATCTAATCATCTATAAAATATAAAACAACATAAAGCAAAGACCCTGGAGAAGAAAGGCGCACCTTTCAAAATATTGGCAAAAAATTATATTCCCAGATGTCAGCCTTCCTTCTTTCTCTAATTTCCAAAGATATTCTTCAAATATCAATTGTCATCCGTTGGGTAGTAATTTCGCTTTTCTACTATATGTTTTTATTTTTGGGCAGAAGTTCGGCTATTTCTTGCAGACAAAACGTGTGAAATTTTCCACAATCATCCCCAGCCCTATGAAGACAACTGAGCTAGCTGAGCTTCCCACAAGGCTTTAGGTTTGCCGTCCCTCTTTTGGCGATAGGCTGAACTATTAGGGAGCTGAAGCAAACACGATTTTGAGGGATGCACGTCAACCGGAAATGGACCTTTTTAATTTAGTCATGGACAGTGGTTTAGCCCAAATTCTCGGCCAAATCGCCTCTATAAGAATAAAGGCACTTAGCGATACATATTTGGTAGCGTAAAGTCATTAAGCTTAGCCATAAGTTGCCGATAAATTCCCAAAAAGTTGCCAATAAAAGTGTCTAAAAGTTGCTATTTTATTTTTAAAGTTTTCGAAAAGTTGCTGAATTCCGAAAAAGTTGCCGAATAGTTGCTATTTTATTTTACTTGTTTGCACGTGAAGTTGGTTTATTGCAGATTTTACTGACCGGATTCGTCTGGATTTTTTTTCTCTAGCCATTTTAGCTAACTCGGGGTAGCGAAATTTGCCCCCAGCCTTTTAGCTTCCTCAATAGGATTAATCGGGCCTGATGACAGTCCGCCGTCTTGAAAAACGTGTCATGTGATACCACTGAACTCGCGGAAAGGCGTGCAAGCTGGCATTGATGATTGGGCCAGTCCTGGAGTCCACACACTCACACAGTAGTATAAACCAGTTGAATTTAGCTGACGTTTCTTTCGAAAGCTAATAAATGTCGCGAAAAAAGTAAAATGCTAAAAAAAATCAAAAGTTGCCGAAACGTTGCCGAGCAACTTGTGGCTAAGAGTAAAGGTCTCAATTCCAGTTGACGTGCGTCCCCCCAAAACGCCTTTGCTTAAGCTCCCTATTGATGTTCTTTTACCGCGGATATACGTAAGCGTGTACCATATTTGGTCAACGCTAGCTGGTTATTAGCCGGAGAATTTGAGCCAATCAGAAACAGAAAATATTTTGAATAAAATGACCCATCCTCTCCTCAATAGTCAAAAAAGGTGCCCAATCATAGGGGGGACGGGAAACGTGGTCCGTCCGCCATTTTGTCTTTTTGCGACCCTGAAGACGAAGCCCAAATTATGATTGGGTTGCCCAGGCAGCCCAACAATGAATACATGTATTTGAAACTCTAATTATCTATAGGTAGTGCAGGATGATACTCGTTAAAATAACCTCAATTACCAACCACCCGAATGGGCTAATTTAACTACTCTTTACGGTTTCTTGAATGTTATTATGTACTCGGGATAGCAATGGAAATCATTAAAAATCACAAAAATAGTCGGATCGTCCTTTTTGTTGACGACCGAGTCGTAAAGAATTTCTGGTTTGTTGGGATCTATTGGGGGTGGCCTCTTCATTCCTTGATTTCCAGCGGTGTACTTCCCAACAAGCACTCTCGCCAGGTACATGCAGCGTTCACCGTGAGGGCCTGGTTGTGAATATGTCTCCGAGTAACTGGCATCTTTTGCAAAGTAAACACCATCGCCGTAGGCCGTCGCTGCAAACAAACATATCAGAGCGCCATCACTTGGTTTGTAAGTGAGTTTTTGCATAGTAATGAGCTACAAGTACCTGAATTACAAAATTCAATAAAACCTTTTCTCGATGAACTGACTTCCTCTGCGGTTGAGGATGTAAACAATCTCTTCTCTTTCTATTTGGATGATTAATTTAGCCTTTACAGGAATTAATAAACAGCCACTTTGTACCTTTTACACTGGCACTGAGGAACTAGGTTGTAATGACGAATCATGCAATTCAGGCTTCTGGGAGACTGCCAACCTACCCCTCCCCTATGCAAATAATAACACTTAGTTCTCACTTAAGCCTGGTTTTCACTAGCTCATAATCATAAGCATAAGGGCATATACGCACGCGCAGAATGGCATATTTGACTCAATTCTCAATACCAGCTCTCCTCAACCCGATGATATACAAGATAGCCGACGAAGCGTCCGCCATATTGCTTTTGATATATTCACATAAGGTCTGGGTCAAAGTGACCTATGATTGGTCCACGGCCTTGTGCTTATGCTTGTGCTTATGTCGACCCAGTTTTCACTAGTTTAAGCTACGACATAAGCACAAGCACAAGCACAAGGAGAATGAAGTTGTCCGTTTTTCTTGTTCTTTTGCTTATGCTTATGTCGACCCAGTTTCACTTGCTTACACATGTGCTTGTGCTTATGCTTCTGCTTATGCACTAGTGAAAACAAGGCTTTAGGGCAAAATGATGGCTTTCACTGGAGGGGTAGGTGGGCAGTTTCCCATAAACCTAAATTGATCTGTAATGACAACATAAGGGCTTTCTCAAGAGAAGACAGCTCTAAATGCCGCGGCCCATCATTAGTTCTAACAAATAGAATATAATAACTCCCATTGGGGGGTTTATGTATGACTAGCGTCATGTGTGGCTCACCGATCAGTAAAGCTCTAGCTTGTTTGTCTCTTGATCAATCGCTTCGCAGCCATTGGCTATTTCATGGTCACATAATAGCAACTAAATTCATATGCATCCCGTGTGGGATACAAACAGTGTTTCCCACTTAGAAAAATTACTGCCGTTGAGCACAGAAGTGGTGGAATTTTTTGTCGTTTGACCGTGTTAATAAGGAGCAGGAAAATAGGGAACTGTGTTTGTGCCTGCATGCTTGTTTTCTTAGCCCTTATGTTGCCCCCTAGGAAAGGTTAGTTACTCTTTGATCATTTTGCTGCTAGCTAAAAAAAAGGACACTTTATGCCTGACTCACCATTTTTACCACACAGACTCCTGTTAAATCCTTGCACGTTTATGGGCTTAAAAGATTCGTACTTTGTTCCATGGAAAAGTTTCAGCTGATTTTCATGGGGGCCGTTTTTCAAATCCATAGTTTGTTTTCTCACAGCGTATGCGTTAAACAGCGATGGGTTTTGAACTCTTTCTATGTTGGTTATGGAGACTTTCCCACGCAGCGACTGAAGAAACTTCTCTTCGACCGTTTTGAACTCTTGGGAGTCCTGTGCAAGGCTGACCAAATGCAGAGTCTCTTCTTTACCGCGCTCGTCTCGAGGCTGGGGGTCCCATTCATCAGGGAGAGGATAGACTAATTAAAAACAAATGTCTTCTTGTGAGTTAAATATTTTCTCTCACGGAGCTCACTGTAAAATCATTAGCGGGAGAAAATCAACTAGAAAATAAAAAAGTTAGTAGGCTGAACAACCGCGATGATCACTTTGTTGATTTTTACCTCTATAGTTAACAGTAGAATTTTTTCAGTTTTATATACTTAATCTATGTTCATTCCTGTTATGGAACTTAGTGAAAAGCCCGATAAATTGTTGGATCTGACCGACGTCAGTGGCTTGATACAAACTCAGAGTTCAAATGGTAATGTAGCAACGAGGAAGTACCTGATATGTCGACGTCCCGTCAGAACCTTGAATTCTTTTTAGACCTTTTTGCAATTTTCTAACTTTTGCTGGTGCCTACGATGTTCATTCCTCATTTAATTTCAAATCTACAATTAACATCGAATTTGTCTTTTTATACCTCATCGTAAGTGTTCACAATGTTTCAAAAAAAGGGGGGGGGGGAAGGGGGGGCAGGCAATGTGAAATCGTTTAAATATACTTCCAGCAGATTTCGACCATTCCAAAAAGGCCACGAGTTTAACCAAAGCAGTACAGTCATTCTGAAGTCTTAAATTTTATCAGTCTGATGCTTTGATTGCTGTCGTTGTTTTATTTGGCTACACACGAAAAGTCCATGCAAAAGTTAGAATTTAGAGTGCAGGGTCGGGCTGTTCGAAGGTGGGTTAAGATAACGCATGGTTAGTGCGAAATTTGAACTCAGAACTGAGAGCTTAAAAAACAAATTCAGTTTAATTCTCTTTGCCTACAATTTGATACTCTAAAAAGAATATAGAAAATTATCCTAGAGAGTGCTTTTGATGAAAAGAAAAAGAAGCCCTGGTTCAAATTTAACCCTGGGTTAGCGCTAACCGGCGTTGGAACAACTGGGCCCAGGGCTGGGTTGATCAAAGCAGGATTAAGATAACCCAGGGCTAGTGTAAAATTTCAATTCAGATATGACAGCTCAAAAAGCAAATTCAGTTTTATTCTATTTGTCCACAATTTGATGATTTGATGCTCTAAAAAGAATAGAGAAAATTATCCTGAAAAATGCTTTTGAACAACAAAAACAAAGAAACCTGGGTTAAAATTTAACCCTGGGTTAGCGCTAACCGGCTTTCGAACAACTGGGCCCTGGATCTGAATTCAGTCTAAGGACTGTCGACTGTAGTCTTGGGCCTGGGGTCTGGCATCCAAGATGTTTGAACAGAACAAACAAAATTTGGTTGTATGTCAGTGGTATTTTTCCAGGGGTTAATTGCCTTTTTTGTTGTCTTATGGTCTGTTTGAAAGCATTGTAGTTGATCTACTATTTGTTACTTTTTCTACGTTGACTTGACATTTTCTATTTTGACAGACGCTAAACAGACTAAAGTTAAATATAGCATTTTCTTACCATCTATTCGTTGGACTTGCTTGATCCTCCCATTTCTCAAAAATGTAACTTCCATGGTCCCAAAGTTGATTTCGGCCTTTAAATCCTCATGCGTAAAAAGCAGCGACGGTTTCTTGCTTTTATATGCTGAGTCTATTTCATTGTTGGCCATTTTTTCGAAAGGCTCCAGTTTTCCTGAGACGTCGACCATGTACCATTGAACAGTTTTGGACGTTTGTTCTGCTCGCTCTTCCCTGTGCTCTCGTTCCCTCTGCTCATCGATGGCATCGGACACTTCTGAGTTTATGTCCATCACATCTTTAGGAAGCCCTTCCAGTCTGATGGTATCGGCTTCTGGTTGGTCTAATTTCACATCTCGTGCACGTGCCATTCTTTTTAGGTCACGTATACACCGTTTGGACAAACGGTTGATGACATCATGTTTTATAACGCGCGGATGCTTGCATGCCTTTATGAGTCCATCCTTTAGGGCTTCTATTACTGCTTCAAAGGACTCTGTGGTCCCATGAACGATTACCTTTTGGCGTCGCCAATATGTAGGGAGATCATCCGCTGGGGCCTCCAGAGTTTCGTCATTGTAAGCTGCATCTGCTACCTCTTCGTTGGCTTCGGAGCAACTGACAGGAGCGTTCTCCCTTTGGAAGTCTTCCATCTCGTTCACAAATGCACCAATTTTGGAGTCGTCAAAGACCACAACTCTCACGTCATAAACGGATTGGGAAGGTTTGTCAGCAAACGCAGCGATTGCTTTAAAAACTACTTCTGCCGAGTCCTCAGGGGATAATCCCAATCCTCCACTACCAACCGCTGGAATGGACACCGAATCCAACCCTTCGGAATCAGCCACCTTAAGGGCTTTCTCTACACATGCCTGAAGATGCTTCTTGTTTCCAGATACTACAACCATATGTATAATATTCTTGGTTGATAACAATCCAGCTGAGGTCATCAAAACTTCTCCTGGACGCTGCGGTGCTTTTGAACGTAGCTCTCTTTGCACCACTTCGCCGCAGACCTCAGCAATGACTTTGCTTAAGTTGCCACTTTCCATGTCAAGGTCTTGGGTTACTACATTGCAGATTGCGTCGGAAAATTCCTGCGTGATGTCTCCTTTTACAAGCTTCACCGTAAGTCCTTCGAGGTAAACCTCTTTACAACTAAATTCAGATACAGGGGTCATCCGGCGTCTTTTTCGCAGGTCAGCTGGACGTCTAGAGGGCCTTGGCTTTGAATAGTTTTCTTTCTTAAACTTTCTAAACTTTTCTTCAAACTCTGTAATGCCAAGCTGGTCACCGCAGTACACAATGAATCTGAACTCCTCTAGAGGTGAGTCTGGGTTTGCTTGACTGTAATCAAGAGCAGCTTCTATCATAATTTGGACAGCGACGTCATACGGGAAACCAAGGTTACCCGTTCCTATCAGTGGTAGACCAATAGTGCTCGCCCCCAGCAAAGAAGCTTTGTCAAAACACTTCCGCAACAAATCTCTGAGAATCTGTTGGACCAAAGAGGTAACATGAGTTTGGACCAAGCAAGAACCCTGTAAACAGGTGGGTTATTTTTAGTTTCGATAGCACATGCTTGTTTATTTAATTATTTATTTGAAATACTTTCAATATTACGGCCGACATTCACTGTGAGGGCTCCTTGATACCTTCGGCCATTGGTTGAAATACGAAGGTAGTCCAAACAGATAGTCTTCGGTTCATTAATATGACTGCACATAATTACTTAAGCGAAATTAACTCGTTTCTATCAAAACAAATATATCTTAAGTAGCATAGAAGGGCCGGACTCAATGAACCACCCCTTTTCCACAGAAATCGTCTAAACAGCTAGGGCTGAGCATTATCGACAAATCCCAGTGCCCTGGCTTCGTGGATTTTGCGAAGGAATCCCATAAACGTCAAGACAGAGTAGTTTCACAGGTTTATTATTCGAATTAGCAAGTGTCAATTAGTTCTGGACCTGCGATGTCACTTGTTTTCAATGACGAACCTCAATGAGAATATTATGTAGTCCTGACCTCGCTTATGAGATTAATAAAAACCAAAAACAGGGTTTATTCAATCCCTATGTTTAACAAAATGCGACTTTGTTCATTCCTGCCAACCTGTTTTTGCTCAGCAGTTTCTTTCCATGGACAACACACACAGTGAATTACCCAGCGGCAGGGTAGGTTTCCAGGAACGGTGTGAATAATGTCGCCTTCACCGAGGTCAGCTGTCTCATCCTCTTTTTCTCTCAAGGCTTTTTGCAGTGCTGGTCCAGCGGCTTTGCTCATCGCAGTTGCAACCGCACCAATGGAGAGTTTAAAGTTTGAGCCCACAGAACACACTAAAATATCTGCCTGCAATGAATAACAGTTTCGTCAGATCGATATACTGGTCCGATGGCCTATACCTTGTGTTCTCTCAAACTAACTTATTTAGAGCGGGTAAAACTTTATCAGTTCAAAAACCTGATAAACCTTTGGAGACACTTTCCAGATCAAACCGGAAGTTAGAGTGGGAATTACTACGGTTCAGTAAATGAAACGAAGTTTTCACAAAAGCGTTGTATTGTGAACTCGTTCACTTGTTTGTTTTGGTTTGGTTTTTGGTGTTCCTTTTCAGGGTGAATAAGTGCAAAAAGAATAGTAAGGCAAACCTTTTCTTCTTCAATGTTTCCTGTCTTCCAGATAACCTTTTTTCCCGCTGAGGTGACTATGGTTTCTTTATTTTCATCAACCTCGTCTTCACCGTCACTACCGGTGCTCAATGGCTCATCGTCGTCACTTTCATCGTCTTCACGTTGGTCTCCGTTTTGTTCCGTAATTTCGATAACACACTTTTGCTCTTGTTCTACAGCTGCGATCAACCGTTTTCCATCCTCTTGAGCTAAGAAGCTTCGCATGCCTGGTGTGGAAATATTAAACATCTTCTCTTTAATTTGCTCTTGCAAAAGGTACAACCTCTCCTCTACCTCCTTTACGCCATCCTCAGTTCCAGAAAAGACTATTCGATCGCCGTTTTCATCTAAAGAAATCTCGACTGCGTGAAAGGCAATTGCAAGCTCTTCTTTGATTTTGGATAGTTCATCTTTGTAGAACTCATTGAAGAACCTTCGATGTATCGACGAACCTAGTCTGAACTCTCCTTCTGTTGCTTTCTTCTCGTTAAGAAAGTCCCTCATTTTGGTAACAGCTTCTGAGACATCTTGCCTGAACCCAAAGACGGCAATGCAAGATAGTTCTCGTTTTGTGCGGATCTTAAGCCGCTTTTCCAATTTCTTACAAAGATCTTTCCACTTTTCGGATCCTATGAGATGGTTATCTCTGTCGTTAACAACGAGACTTCGGTCGCTGATTAGCACTTCCATCGCCTTCGTCCTGCCTTGTATAGTTTCCTCCGGTGTTCGCCCGATAAGGATGACCTTTTTGGTTTTCTCGTCGACGTTGAAGGAGCACCCCTCTGGCAGTTCAGCCGCCATCTTTCGTTTCCCGACTTTGGTTTTTAAGATGTCTAAAATCTCTGGAGGATAAGGCATGGAATTGTGGTCGATTTCGTCCAGACGCAGCTTCAGGTATGACATGACCGACGCCATCAGATCTTTAGGTGTTTTAACGACAAGGCTTTTGCTGCCTAAGTCGAGTTTCGCTTGAATTTCGGTATTAATTTCTTTCTTCAGTATATCTTCAATTCTGGCATTTTGAAGAAGTTGCAGCTTTTCGCAAGGTATGTCTGTTTTTCTCTTCTGCTCCAACTTTCTCTCAAGGACCTCTCGTTTGATGTCTTTGAGGCGAACCTTTAGCCTTTCTTCAAAATCGGGCATATTTGATTTTTGACATATCAGTATTAGCTGGCAAGATTCCTTTTGTAATTTTACTTGCGCTGTGAGTTTCGGAAGTGCCCTTTCGACTTGCGGCAGCTGATCGGCAACTTCGTCCAAAATTTCCTCTTCCAGTGGAAAATCTTTAGCACAACAGTTATCGAGAAATGCGTCGACGATATCAGAACAGTGGCGTTTCCAAACCTGTTCATCGAACTCCTGGTCCACTTTATGTCCACCATATTTAATCAGCACATATGCATCTTCGTTCCACCTGATTCGAGCACGTTCTTTCAAGTCTAGCTCTTCCCTCAGTTTCACCTCTTGGTTTGACTTCATTACAAATTCCATTAAGTCCCGATTAACTGACTTGTAGAATTCTGGTTGTCTGGATCCTTCAGGTTCACCTGGAAGAGGTCGCAATGATCCCTTTGGTTGCTTATCTTCACCAGTTATTCCCATGTAAGGGTAAAAAGCCTCCACGTGAAGGGCTTTTTCATTTAAAAAGTGATCCATCGTCGTTGCTTTCTTTACACCTGTGATACACAGAGAAAAACACACAAAAGTAGTAATAAGAAAAAATTACGGGGTGCTTTGACCTATCTTGATCCATGACTCTCTCTGCCTTGGAAAACTGATGTCAATAGGGACCTTAAGATCCGGAGATTGACTAATTGGCGTGGGTGGGTGGGTCGTGAGTCGTGCGTCGAGGGCCGTGGGTCGTGCGTCGTTGGTCGTGCATCGTGCCTAATAATAGCCGTCATGCTTTGTGGATAGTGGCTCTTCGAAAAGACTCTTGCTCTTAGACTTTGAAGGCACCGTCTCCCTTTACTGTCTTTACACGACCCCTAACATTTATGTAAAGTTTCTCCGATAAAATTTAGTAATGCAAACTTATCAACGAAATATTTCCTCCTCGTAGACTTGCTCATAAGTAGAGCTCAAAATTTTTCTCCAGCGCAATGCGCGAGCTAGAATTTTTTTATGTTTTCGGTGGCAAAGTGAGCGATGGGAGAGACCGGGAGCTGGGCCTAAGTCTATCCTCCCTGGTCCTCTTCCATTTTCCTGCATGTTCCTCGCACACTCTGCGTACATAGTGAAATGCACATGCGTCCAATGAAACCACTTCCAGTTTTAAAAAAGAAAAAACACTCCTTAATCCCGGCCTTTGTTTCACATTCTATATCGTTGGACAAAAACCTTCCAGTATGGCTTTTAAATCAAATTAGGCATTTAGTTTAGGGAAGACTATTCCATAAAACAAATTATGACCAATCATCACCATTTAAACACGTCAATTCTAGCACTATTTTAGTAACAGCAAACTTCCTTTGAGTGACAATATTTAAAAGCCTAAATCACAGATCTAGTGGTAGTCCGTGTAAAGAAGTTTTAACTTCAACTGATAACATTTGTTCATAGAGAACATAACACTTTATGGGCAAATCACAGGGTGTGAAAACCTTCGTGCCATCAATTTTCTTTCCAGGCCTCGTTTAAGTTATTCTAAGATGATATGAAATAATCTCGTTATGAAATTGAAGTCATGAACATATGCTTTTTTGGTTTGTTTTTTGACAACTTTACACCCAACACGCGTACCCAGTTTGTCGCCTTCAATTTTAACAATTTTCACCCATTTTCACTACCTTTGCTAGCAAATTTCCTAGGGTACTAAAACTTGTGATAAAAAAGGTAGGCCGCGCCAACTAACAAATAATGAAAGTGTGTTAATATCAGTAGCAGGACTGAACGTCTTTGAATCAAAAGCTATCTCAGAGCACTTGACCTTAGTTAGAACTGCCCGGACAGACCAGTCCATTCGTTAAGAGGATTCCGGTATTGATCAGGACTATCCTGCTGCATCAGCCGGTTTCTGAAGGGTATACAAAGCAGTGATGAGATTTTAATTAAAAATATCCTGAAAAAAGGCTTTAACCACACCGCTTTGATAATCAGGTTGGTTTCACTAAAAAGATATGGACTGGTCTCGCTTTATTGAAAAATTATGTGACTGTGGACTTAACACGAAAGACGGAGGCCACTGACTCGTGTGCGACTCACCTTCCACGACCCACATCCCACGACGTACGACCCACGACCCACCTACCAATGCGATTTAGCCATCCTCTAAGATCCGAGGACGGCGTCGAAAAAGCCAATTAAAGAGAGGATTCACGTTCTCTCAATCTTTATCATGATTATTCCAATTCACTCATACTTACAGCCTTTGTGAAAATATTATGTAGCCGAACTCTCTTGGAGCTGAATTCCTAAGAACTATATCCCAAGTTCACAAGAAAAAAAAACATTTCGTTTTCGCTTGTCTACGCCCTGCTTAGAACATAAAATAAATTTTAATGTCGTCGTCGTGCAGGTACGGCTAATATATGTGCAAAAAAGTGCGCTGCACGCACAAAGAGGCACCCTCGTTGCCGTTGCTATTGCCGTCGTCGCGGGATCTAAAGGTCCCTTCTGGCTCCTGCAGGGATGCAATACAATAAACTGACGCCACAAACGTGGCTCAAGATCCGTTCATTTAATTAAACAATAACGTTCAGTTGTCTTATAAAATCTTACTCCAATCTCAGTATTAGGGGTGCGTATTACATCGAAAGTAAAATCATCATAATACTTCTGTGTTAAGGTTGATGGCGAAGAGTTTTTCATCCAACATAAAACCAAACAAGGACGTTTCCTATTTCGGATTCACAAATTCATTAGGATTCACCATCTTTGAGAAGGCTTCGCGGAGCTGAGGCATTTTCCCATACATATCAGTATTGACAAGTATGTAGGTTTGATTACCAGCCGCTGTTCGGGAACATGGCCGGACCCGAGAGAGAGAGGCGGGAATCGAGGCATACCTCAGTGGCGGATCCAGGGGATTTTGGAGACCTCAAGGTCTGGATCCGACACTGATGTTTAATAGGCCGTGTACGAAACCTGAAATTACGTGGGGTCGAAACTTAGTAGAAAAGGAGCTTAGAAAATGTTACTTACTTCTTTTGTCTTTGAAGTAGACAATAGCTCTCTTGTGCTTTTTATCTTCCTCCCAAAGTCGATGGTTTACCTGCACTCCGCGAGCCAGATCTAAAGAACCAACTTCATCAAAATAAGCTTCAACTTGCTCCACTGTGGTGTCCTCGGAAAACTCACTGACAAAAATGCTCTTGCATTCTGGCGCCCTTTCAATGACGTAGTTCACGCCTTCTTGTGGTCTTCTTTTCGCTTCGGTCAGCATATTTGAAAAATCTTAGGTAAAATAAATATTGTTAAGCCTAAATCAACATGTACACTTTTTAACCGAGGTTGGGTTTTACTTCGACGGACTTTTTTTCCGAAGACACATTTAGAGTTTGTGACAAAGACTGTAGATCTATATTTATGGCGATCCCTTTGGAGTAATTTCGAGAGCCCTCATCGGCGTCTCGCAAGTTTGCTAAAGATGATACAATAAAACCCGGCGACTAAGAACCTGGATTGTAAGAACCTGTTACGCTAAAATTTGCCACCTTTTAGCCTAAAAATTTTAAACAGGTTCTTATTTTCTAAAATCTATGAAAAAATTCTGTACCGGATTGGGCAAATAAGATAAGCCAACATTCGAAATCCTCTTTGGAGACAAAGGTGCCTAAATCTTTCAATCTATTCATGAGGTAAATGTTAAGATTACAAGGTGTTAGTATTGTTATTAGTGTTATGATTGTAATAGGACAAGGAATCCCAACGAATGTATGTTATGATCTGACTCCCTTCAAAATACTTGAGGTCAATGCTTAATTATTGAAACTGTCAATTTACTGCTTACTTTTAAGTTTTACCTGGTCCTGAGAGTTTTTTAGTGTTCAATGTCACGATAGCTTTTCCATTTCCAAACCACTCCAAATGCCTTACTTTATAGGCGCCGCCGCTGACCAGCTCCATGAAATTCTTTAAGCTGTCTCGTGATGATTTGTGACGCAGTCCCAAGACATACAACTTGTTCCACTCGTACTTGATATCAGGTTGTGTAAAACCTAAGAAGACTGGATCGTAACGTTGCCGTTGCACTGCTCCGGGCTGGCTGTTAGGCCCTGCGTGATTAAATGATTAAATAAATAAATAAGGAGCAAATAAATAAATAAATAAATATTGCCGGATATGTTTATATAAGACGTTAAAGACGCCTAGCGTAAATACGGAAAATACGGCTGATTGATGCGGTTAACAGAAAAGAAGAACACCATGTGCTCAGTACAGCAAGACACCGTGATCTGGTATTTGGTCAACACGCTGGTTCTGATATTAACATCGACCTGACTGCGACAAATCCGCCTGAATTACATTTCCGATATAGGAAAAAGAAGTCGCATCCTAGAATCTACTGCCGCATGTTTTCGAAGTTGTTACGAGTGCAGCTTCGCAGATTTGAAAGTAGTAACGACTTACGATTGTCGCCGGGTAGGTTAGTGGCGTATGAAGCCACGGACGGGCAAAAACATTGCCAAGAGAACTGAAAATGTTTGAATTTTTTCAAATTGTACTGTTAGAGCCCGATAGTTAATTTGAAGAGGTTTTTTCAAGCCAATCTTATCCAATTTTTTTCCAATTGGCTTTTTTTTCAAGCCAATCAAAGTGAAATTTTATGGTGTATAAATTTTAATTTACACACCATGCCATGTTCGGCATCATGATTTGTATCAAAATTCTAAGCCAAAATATATCTAACTTTTATCTTTAACTTATTCCAAAGAGCATTTTCTAAAGCAAATTCTTCCAACCCGTTCCTTATTACCGTATTTATTCGATTAAACGCCGCCCTTGAATAAACGCCAACCTCGATTAAACGCCGCAGATGGAAACAAAATTACCAATAAACGCGACCCTCGAATATTAAAAAAAACGCCGCACCTAATCAGAAGAATGCGGCGTTTACTCCAAAAACCTCGGTACAACTTGGTAATTTACACCATCCAGACGTTTACGATTCTATCTCAGCATAATAACATACAATAACTGTTGTCAGTGATATATATATATATAAAAAGTGATTTCGAAATAAACGCCGCCCTTGAATAAACGCCTCATTGAAAACGCTAAAAATTTAATTAAGGCCGGCCGCGGCGTTTAATCGAATAAATACGGTATGCCCACTAAAGTACAACAGTTTAACGGTGTAAGGAAGTAATCGGAGTGCTTCATCTCTTCAGTCATTCATTTAAAGAAGCCGTTTTTCGTTAGTTGACAACTACGATGTCGACAATTAACTTACCTCCTCTTCCGTGACCACGGCCTGGTGTGTTCGTGCTGATACTACGCCCTCTTCTTCCCCTGGTACCTCTACCACGAATTGGCTGTCGACCATCTTCACGCTGATTTTGGTGCGGTACCGACCTGCTTGACGCCCCTCGAGTAGCATTAGCTATTCTCCTGCCACGATGTGGCCCTCCTCTCGGTGGTCTTGTGTGTTGAGCCTTTGTGGGTACTGTTTTCCAGGTGTCTCTTTCACTTCGAAATAAGGAGTCGCTATGGTGATGGTTTGCAGCCGTGGTATCAGTACTTCCATTTTCATTGTCTTGGTCTTTGTTAGTAGAACTCGTAGGTTTCTGGTGTTCTTCAGAAGACAAAATTAAAAATTCAGTCAGCTGAATCTGACTAGAATCATATCAAATGCCACTTGATTTGTGCTCAAACCATCTGCCCCATAGTTACAAGGCGGGTAACTTAAAGCTAGTAATTTTCCTTACCGCTTAATTACAGCTTTCTAAATACGGTAGAACACTTTCGACATAAATTCATCCTGAATTTTAATATATCGAAAGTGGCCTATTCAGTTAGGTGCCCAAGGGACCCTGTCTCTCAACTTTTACATTTCCAGCTTTCTTTGATTTTCTTCCTCCTTTTTCTTGAACATGAGTCTTCCGCTGTTTTTCGCTAACAACAGGAAGATAGCTAAGTGATCAATTAAGTTGCACTCACCTGCCATGGTCAGGGCAAAAAACACGTAAGAATAAGTTCTTTTTCTTGCCAGGCGCGCTATTAACCTGAAAGTGATAAATTAAATTTTCAGTGAAGTTATGACCAGATTAATGTATTTACATTCGGCGGAGCTAAACGTAGTGGCAGTGACGGAGAATGTAAATACTTTCCTATTGGTATGAACACACGTGACCCGCTATGGCGTTAATTGACTTTATTGTTATTAGGTATATAAGGTTTTGACAGTTGTAATGTATTCATCTCAGCTCTCGAACTATCAACTTTTATTTTTATATCTTACTTTATTCATCTATCGATTGATTTTTTCTACCTTTAACCCCCAGAGGTTGTGCGACCGCATCGGTTGGGGAATACGTTCCCAATTTTTTCCCATTGGGTTTTTGGGGTTTTCGTATCAGGCGGCGCACGTGATTAGTTTAGCCCGAGTGACTTTATTGAGGAATATTTGTATACCATTCTTTAGTTATGATGTTGAACTTTGTATGTTTTTTGGACGGCATTAAACACTCAGGCTCCATAGTTCGAGCTGCACACCCATTCCCGTCTCTTAGTCGTGAATATAAATAGGAAAATCAGTTTGTTATGCCTAAAAGCATTACGTCAGCATCACCAACAGAGCTAAAAAGCGTTCATTGAACCGGGGATTCCCCCTCCCTATATTAACTTTCGCTTCCACCTACACTAATATTCTGATAATATGCAGTTTTTCAATAAATTTTTAAAATTAATTCAGATTTAAAACAAATCAGTCAGTCAACTCTTAAATACTCTCAAGTCTTTTCCTCAATTCGACTTTCTGACGTTCTTGGATACTAAATGCATACAAACGCCTTAAAATCTCTAACTCTATAAAGCACTCGTGTTAACAGTGGCCCATTCAGTTATATTAAACGGTGGCTGGATATTCTTTTTGAGAGAAACATTACAAGGACATCGATGCATCGATGCCGGCAGGGTTTACTTAAATCAGCTTAGATCCTTTTATTAACAATATATTTATGTATAACATGACAAGACAACTTAAGCGATATCTAGAAAGATAAACAACGTTTACGGATACAAACCTCGATCATCGTTGCGTTCAAGTATTGATCTTCTCTTCCGGGTAAAATAAATTGTATTCGGTGTGTCTGTGAGTTTTTTTGTGGGTACAAGTATTTAAACTTACTAAGTTCTTCTGTTAGGAAGATAAGGCCCGAGCAAACTATAGAAAAATTTTCTATTTCATTCGTAAAATTAAGAGGTCAAGATAAGACCACATATTAAAAGCTAAACTTAAACTTGAACTGTAGGGGCGCTTACCGTCTTTCGGCGATGTAATTTCCCTTTAAACTTGAGTAATTAAGGTCAACTCTTTTCACTGAGTTAAAATATTTCCTTACAGTCGTATCACAACGCGGCGGTGTGCTGGGTAAATATGTAATACGATAAACATTTCACAGTTAAGGCATCTTTATGGGGAACTCGAATAAAAGCTTTCCACTTCATTCATGTCTTATTTCCGGTTCTATTCCAAGAAATAATTTGAAAGCGAGGCCCGCACGTATGGTGCTAGGTAACCAAGCAAAAAGTGTCACGACAGTAACGCAAGGAACAGGCGAAGGACTCTAGCGCCAATTTTCACATACAGTAAAAGCCCAAACATCCCAAAATTGACTGTAATTATTATGTATGGGATGTTTCGCTTGCATTGAATTTTGTACTGAAGGTAATTATTAGGGAGCTTAACTAGTAACGATGACAGCGACTTCAACGAGAGCGGCAAAGGAGCAATCGGTTTAGATTGGCAAAACAACAACTTGCTACACGTGCCTCAAAGTTTTTTGTACATTTCTTAGCCGTTGTTGCACGACTACAACGGGAAAATTCCTAATTTCACGTTTTGTCGAGGACGGGAACAAAAGACAACAACTTTCTTTTCCTTTTCCTGAACTTTAGTACAGTCCTTTAGAATTCAAATCCAAATTAATTTTCCAACATCTGACGAATTATACGACATGGAATAAGCGATACAAGATTTGAGGCAGCGCGAATTCACTTTTTAAGTGACCTTTTTGTAGCTGTCGTCGTCGTTGTTGCCCGGGGGGGGGGGGTACTTCCTTATAACCGATGGGGATGTGCCGCGGGATGGGGTCGCATTTCCACCAGGGGGTTGACTATGGTGGGGGCCCCTTTTTAATATAGTTACTGGAATGGGGTCGAACATTTTCGGATCGTTTGGGTTAAGGCAGTTTTTAATTCTCTCAAAATTGAACCCCAAGGTGGCCCTTTTTTTTCCCCACCCAAAAAAAATGCAAACCGAAAAAAGAAAAAACTTTCTAACCCCAAAAAACCCAAAAATTTCCGACCCCATCCCATAAACAAAATAAAAAATGGGCCCCCCCCAAAGTCACCCCCCTGGGGGAAAGCCGACCCCACCCACGGGCCCACCCCCACCGGTTAAAAGGAATACCCCCCCCCCCCCGGGCAACAACGACAAGCGTTTAAGGGTTTGGGGCAGCGGAGATTCCTTTTTTTAGGGGTCTTTTTGTGGCTGTCGGGGGCTTTGTTGCCGGGGGGGGGGGGGTACTTCCTTATAACCGAGGGGGATGTGCCGCTGAATGGGGTCGCATTTCCACCAGTGGGTTGACTATGGTGGGGGCCCATTTTTAATATAGTTACTGGAATGGGGTCGAACATTTTCGGATCTTTTGGGGTAAGACAGTTCTTCATTCTTACGGTTAGCATATTTGTAGTGTAGGTAAAAAATAGGTCACCATGGAGTTTCAATTTTAAGACAATTCAGAAAAAAACGTAGCCTCCCCTGCAGTTGTTTTGTATGGTCACGCAACGGTCCAGGAGGTGCTTTGCGTGACGCATCAAAAACGGTTGCGCGGGATACCGGGGATTTGACTATCCGAAAACGGAATAGAAGCGAAAACATAGCTAAATAAGTTAATTTTTGTTCTTCCAGTCTTTATCGCTATTATTCCTACCGATTTACTTTATCAAAAGTAGGCGAACCCCTCCTCCCCCCCTGGCGTTGGATTCCTAGTTCAGAAAGAGAAATAAAATTTTCGTCGTCGCTTGTTTACGTCCTCCATAAAATGTAAAATTATCAATTACACGTCGTAGCCGTGCAAAACGGCAAAGAAATGTACAAAAAATTGTGATGCACGCGCAAAGTTGTTGTCTTGCCTTCAACCTTGTAAACCTTTTGTGTGTGTTTTTCTTTTTTGTTCGTTGTGTGTATTTTGTTGTTGTTGTTTTTTGACTTCCCATTGCTATCGCGTCGGCGCAACATAAGGTCCCTACTAGCAACGTTTCCCTTACTGACCCCCGACTTCGTTTTTTGGGAAGAAATTCCTTGACCACTAGCCTTATTAAAACGTTTTTAGGCTCCGTTCACACGGCACAGGACGAATTTTCGATCCGCTCAAAAATTTGGATCAATTTAGGTTTCTGGGAAACTGCCCACCTACCCCTCCCCTGACCCAACTTTTTGGCCCAGGTAAGACGCAAATGTTAACTTCGAGTTAGGGGAGGGGTAGGTGGGCAGTTTCCCAAACACCAAAATTGATCCAAAAATTTGACCGGCACTTTGTTCACACGGGACCGATCAATATTTTAGCTCTGTTCACACGTAACGTGGAAAGGCTAGGCGTCTAAATTTTCTTACGGTTGAGATGATTCCGCGTGAACTCAACCCCAAAACGAACGAATTTTCAACCCATCGAAAATCGGTCCGGTGCCGTGTGTACGTAGCCTCGGATTGCGGCCAACACTGCCCCCAACATCTGTTAAAAAAAAAAAAATCAAAGGACGTAACCCTTTGAACCCTCACGTAAAAATTCAAATTCTCATTTGTTGTCTCCATGTATTTCCTATAGAAGTAGAAGGGATCGAGAGGATGTCAAAGTATCAATTAGATTCACCTTCAGTGATCATGCCCTTAATTCTCATCACCACTGTTTTATAAAGCGTTAATACTACAAGAAGAAATTCCATACTAATAACTCTTAGGAATGAAAGGGATAATCGACGAAAGTCTTCATAACAAATGAAACATTTATTTAGATATATCACTAGTATTGAAGGTCAAATAATTATCAAGTTATCACAAGGCACATTTTGCACGTTATTATTACAATTAGGCCCCCCTCCACATGTATCCGGATATTTTTGAATCCTCAACTTTCTCTTTCCGGATTAAAACATTTCCATGTCCACACGTATCCGTATTCAAATCGTATTTGTCCATCTACACGTATCTGACGAGTATCCGGATTCACTCTAGTACCCAGTACCCACTTTGGGAATATTGGCAACAGAACATGCGTCGAGGTTGCCATCCGGATAAAACAAATTATCATTCGATGCAAATTTTTCTTCCTTTTCATTGGACAAGAGTCCACCACGTGACCTGCAAATAACTGCCCAAAAATAATTAATGGTCTGCTCATGTGCAATGTCGTCTAACTGTGTTTTGCTGCAAATAATATTCTGCTCATGCGTAAATGAATCCACGCTTTTCTCCTTCTTGCCATCGCTCTTGCGTGAAAATGGCAGATTTTTTGGCGAATAATTAAAAAAAAAAGACTCGGTCATCGAATGATAAAACAATTATTGAACCGATATCGGTTATCGCAAAATATCGTGATTTGTCAGTGTCTCGCAGATAAATTTTTTTGCCTCAGCCTTCGGCTTCGGCAAATAATTGATATGCTCGCCACTGACAAATCACAATATTTTGCTCAGCTTCGTCCAATAAGTGTTAAATATGCGCATTTAGCGTCCACACGATTCCGGATTCATAGCGTATTCAAGAATTTCCACTCTGGAGAGCCTGAGCAGATTAAAAAAGTTACGGATTCGTATGTAGAATTCACTGGATACGTGTGGACGTGGACATTTTTGAATCCGGAAAGAAAAAGTTGCGGATTCAAAAATATCCGGATACGTTTGTAAGGGACCTTAGAAATTGATATCATAATGTTACCGCTTCATTTTCCATGCTCTGCTTTTCCTGAGCTCAATTATTATTACGAATATCAATTATTATTTCATTATTATTTTCTCAATGAAATTAAGTTTAAAATATGGAAAGCAATAAAACTTGTGAAATAGTATATACAAACAGTCTAAACATGGGGAAGGAAGTTTGTCTAATAAACATGTTGGCTCCAACATATCATTCATGAAAACAAGATGTTAAAAAATATGAAATTAAAAGTAATAAAACTTGTGAAAAAGTGTTATAATATATAAACATGGGAAAGCAAACGTGTCTGAAAAAACGTGTTGGCTCCAACATATCATTGGGTTCACTGATCATAGAACTAGAAATACTTGATAACATTAATACCACACCAACCAAAAAATAATACCAATGATCTCCAGCACAAACACACGAATATCGATATTTAAACAAGGTAATCATCACGGCGGCAAAATTGAAATACAGTAAAAACCCGCATATAAGTACCTAGTAATTAAAGAACCCACAAGCTGAATCTGGCATTTGAATACCCAAAAATATAAGAACCTGTTCAGTCTGGCAAAGAAAAATAGGTTCTTACACAAAAAAAATCACTCCAATTTTTGATGGTCAAAATTCCGGATTTTAATTGTGTGAGAAAGTTCTGACAAAACGTTTTTGTGTATATGTATATTCTACATGCAAGCATTTTTGTTGTTGAAAATACATTGAAGTGCTAAAGCATTATGTATTAGAAGTACAATATTTCTGCCAACGGTTACACTTCAACGACAACCTCTGAAAAAATAACAACATACTGAGAACCTAAGCAGCCTGAATTGTGAGAACTACCCTAAAATATAAGAACCTGTTCAGCCTGACCTCGAAAATTCCAGGTTCTTATATACAGGATTTTACTGCATTCCAAAACCACTAAAGCTCTCTAATGCAATTTATGACGGAAACAAATTAAAACCAAACCATACAGGCTGCTTAACGCACTTCTCGTCTGGCAGACAAGATGTCAAACAAACGCAGGAGTACGGAAATTATTCGTCACTAATCAGTTCTTGTCCTTCGTGCCAGGGAGTAAAACATGCATTCACTACAGCTTAAAAACAGCCAGCAAAGTGTTTCATCACTTTTTAAAACTTGAAACAGATAAACAGGACGAAAAACCTGTACCTGCACCGCCTTCAAAAAAGCTGGAAAAATTAATTCACTAAAAACGTTTGGTAAGTGGAAAAACTGAGTTAAAGTTACAGTAATGTATCGTATCGTGACTTCCGATTCGTATCGCGATCTCTATCGTATGGTGAGCAAATGTATCGCTGCATCCCTATCAGCAAACAAAACGATAATAAAATTTTCTTCCATCGTTAAAATTTGATAAGATATTCAGGATAGCACTGATTGTCAAAGAATACCACAAATATGGACGGGTTTTCAGCATCATTCACCACAGAGTCAAACAACACTTCCGGTTTGGAAGGATCCTTTGGGGGAGGTACCACGGATTGACGATTGGTCCCTTTGCAATACTGACCCACCAGGACTTTAGCAACGTACATGCATCGGTTACCAACACCAACTTGGGATCTGTTGGCGTAACCTACTGAAAATGACGCATCTCTAGCGAAGTAAACTCCTTTCCCAAAGTCAGTCCCTGTGTCATTAAATAATTGATATAATTGACTGTTAATATAATTTTCAAAATGACGTACATCGAAAACATAAGGTAAATTTTCTAGAAGAGGAGGCAAATATTCCACGGAGTATTTGACAAAATCGTGCACTGTGACTTTTCGGACAATCAAGAGAAGTTTTCTCATGAAGAAATTCATGTGTTTACTTTGTTGAAAAAGCTCTTGGTAAGCCATTTAAAACACGCGACACAGTAATTAAGCAAGGAAAATAAGACGTGATCTAAACCATTTATACCAGTATGTCTCACATAAGACGCGAGTAGTTCTTACAAATGGTTCGCGTCTTATTTCTGGTCCCGGATTCGTTTTCGCGTGCGTGTTGCCGATAGCAATGGCGAGGCGACATAACATGGCGCAAGTTAAAAAACGCATTTTTATAAGGCGTTCGTGTAACGAAACACGTCAAAACTATACTTCGCTTGCTTTATATTTTTAACCCCTTTTTCGGTGTTTGATATGTGAAAAAATACCCCTCTCGTGTATTTTTTATATGACTTCTAGACCAGGATGGCTTTCGAAAACTCTCACACACGCAGAGACTTGAAATCATAGGTCTGTCCTTTTACTGTGGACGGGAAATATCGAAGGTTTCTGAATACCCTGACTTCAAACCTAATGATGTACTACCGGGATCCACACTTAACCAGACCAAACGCGGAAATTAAAGATATTATAAATATCATGGGTGACAAATTACTTCTTAATTTTGGCGCGCGAAACGTTAATTGCTAAGATGGCGTCAAGATTTTAAACTGTTATGAATGAAGCTGTCAGTGCATTAAAGGCGCTTTAGAAAACCTAAACGTACGAAAGAGCACATCAAAAGCTATTCTATCAGGTAGTTTGTTGAAAAATTCTGAAAGTTATGAACTTAAGCCAAAATTCAAGCTCTAAACTTTTCAGTGCGCGGAGTTCTCGATCGATACGATCAACAGGTCAAATCTCCACGTTTGCGAGCTTAATTTGCCACCATGATACTATTAATAGGTAATCAAGTAGTATACTTGCGAAATTAGGGAATAATTTCACTTGCGTTTTGTCCAAACTCGAATAATTTCTCTAGCCTTAAAGTCACCATTTGATCTCTGACTTACAAACACCACACAGAAAAGCCTGGGAACTAAAAGTATCACCAGATATGCTCAAGGCTCGTTCTTCACCAGCGACAGAATCGGAGTCGGAGTCGTAAGAAGAGTCGTAAGAACGCTTAGTATGACCTAGTGAAAATCACAAATCGGAGTTGTGTGCGAATTCAATAAGTTCGCCAGAGTCAAAGTCCCAAGAATCAAAACGTTGTTTTGGGTTCATTAAAAAACTTTTTTCACTCTGTTTAGTAACACCCGTTGTTCAGCTTTTGTATGGGACTTGCCAGTCTAGTTTCCACAAAATCGTAAGGGCCGGGAATCGGAATGCTGTTTTCACTGAACCACAACGCTCTACGCTTCTGATTACGCCGGCTTCGACTCTGTCAGTGCTTTAGTATGAAAGGTTGCAAACGGTGAAAATGCCAATATGACCCTTCGATAAGTTTTTGTCAACAAGGTTTTCCAACTCGCATTAGTCTGGAGAGGACCTTAAAATTGTTGTGAAACAAGATTATGGCCTATGAGCGTCGTTGTATACATACCGCTAGCAGTTCCTGAGAAACTTCTGTTGAATCCTTGTGAGTTGATCTTGGAGACATTGTCAGGACTTGTACCATGAAACAATTGCCGCTCATTATTTCCGCCGTTGTCTTTGTCCATTTTCTGCTTTCTAAGCTGGTACGATTGGTATAGATGAGGATTTTGTATTCTTTCGATGCCCGATATAGAATAATTTCCCACAGTCTGGTAAAATGTAGTCGCCACAGCTTGGTACTCAACAGAGGTAGGCGCAAGATTTACCGCGTGTACAGTGACGTCAAATCCGGCTTGGTTGCGAGGCATTGGCTCCCAATTTTTAGGAAGAGACATTACTATAAGCAGTTTAATAGACTTCGTTAGTACCTTAGCCTTTGGGTTAATTAATACTAGGTTAGGGTTGACCTTGTTTTGACTGTAAAACTTGCTGTTTTTCTTGCGCAAAACGATGAGTTCATTATTTCTTGTATAAGACCTTTTAAGTTACGTAAGAAAACCAAAAAGTTCAGTGTGGCCAATTTCTACACACAATTGTCACTTGGGTCACATTTTAAAGAAAAATCTTGATCTTGTATCTGTGGGTGGGACCTTTTTGTTTATTAGGCCGGAAAGCTTTAACCCTTTAAGCCCCAATATCCACAAGCAAATTCTCCAAACTGATCTCTATACATTTCTTTAAAGAACAAGTTGAGAGAGTTTGATAAAGGATCAACGCATTTTCTCTTTGGTGATCATTTAATTCATCCTCATAACCTAATCTCTTGACATTGTAAGGATATTGTTAGGAGAAAATTGATGTTGGTCACAATTGGGACTTAAAGGGTTAAAGTAACTTGAATGAGCATTTCGTTTGCGGTCTCAGTGCTGTAGAGGGTTGTTGTCCGTGGACGAGCCTTTTACCTACAACTAAGTAATTCTGCGCGTACAGTAGTAAATCTAACCAATTCCAAGTACGCGTATAAAATGGAAGACATAATAAATACTATAAACCTCAGTTTTAAAATTGCACATGTGAACTAATATTAAAACAAAAGACGGTTTACCTGGAAAATTGGCGTTTTCTGCCTCCCTTTTTCTCTCTGTCTGCTCATTCAGTTGGTGCCAGATCTTCCCGACTATTTCTGCCACTTTACTGTGCTCACCCTGCACAACAAAACTTTTATCTTGTCCCTTAACCTTCAAGATCAGTTTGACATCACGTGACTTGGCGTCCTTGCTTAGATCACTGACTTGGTTTTTAGACAGATCACTGACGTTTTTGTGATGGACCACCTGACTTGTAAAAGCTTCTGCAATGCCACGTTTCAGCGTATCCATGGCTCTCTTTACACCAGCTTTACTGGGTCCTGCTACATGAATTACAAGTCTGTTCTTGTTGGACTGGTGTGACTGTGCATCTTGCTCTGTCTTGATCTTTTTTCTTGGCGGTTCGCCTGTTGAACTTGGAACTGGTTGTGTATTGTCTTGTTGCTCCATAACCTTTTTTTCGTCCAAGAAAGCCTGCATCAAACTGGCCTGGAACAAGACGATCCTAACGTGACGCAAGTTCATACAGTTCTCCAGAGAGTTTTTTAAAGCTCTGAATGTTAATTGGGCTGAGTCGACACCCGCAATTCCACCCGCTCCAGTCCCCACCGCGGGCAATGAGATAGTCTTTAATCCTGTTGTGTCAGCCAATTGAAGGCATCGTTCAAGACACTGCTGGAGGTGATTTTTGTCAGAGGAATTTACAACCATGTGAACAATGTTTGGCGTTGCCAGGTTACCGCCACTTGTTATCACCGCTGTCCCTACAGGCCGCTGGCCTAAGCTTCTACATTCGTCTTCCACTTGCGCACCGCTGGCCCTAGCTATTGCTTTACTGAGGTCTCCGGCGGAATTCATATTCATGTCTGTGTGGATGATGTTCACAATGGCCTCTGTTGTCTCTTGTGTGAGATCGCCTTCAAAGACAAGAAAAATTCGTGATTTGTGGCAGCAGGCAGTTGGTAGCAGAACTTACCGATTTCTGCCTACAGCTTTTCGGCAAGAACCAGAGTTCCCTTCAATGCCGTTTACAGGCATCAAGACATACAAGGCACTTGCATTGGATTGAGGGGGGATTAGCTAAGTGGGTAGCGTCACATTCTATTATGAATAACAAATCAGTTAAAAGAAGAGTGTCTCTGAGAGCATAGTTAGTAGAGGTGAAAGAAACCACAGCAAATGTCAAAAGGCAGGGCAAGACTCTGACAACTTTACCTGTAACAACCTCTACCGTCTTGCGATATTTATTTTGTAAGCTCGTTCCCTCTTGCGTAAAAGCATCGATGAGTCCCTGATCTCCGTGATACAAAACAAATCGAACATCTTTCACTGAGATGAGGGGGTTATTTTGGCACACTGTTACCGCTTCATCCAACATTATCCTGCCCGCTTCGCGCGGAGGAAAGCACAGATTTCCTGTTCCAATTATAGGAAAGGCGATCGAATCTCCTCCGAGCTCGCCAACCTTGAGAATAGATGCCCGCACAATGGATCGTAAAGTCTAAAAATTTAAGAGCAGAGATAATTAAACGATAAGGATTTCAGAAAAAAGAAAAAGAAGAAATACTAAAATTTTAATAATCTATTCATGTTGTCCTTCAGCAGCATGATTTTAAAAATAAAAATATTGTTCTAGTGAGGCCTTAAACGACTGATTAAATTACAGTCCAAGCTTTCGCCTATCAACTGCATCATCAGGGATGACAAAATGTTCCGCGCGACGCTATGTATATACAATATAGGTGTAAGATAAAATGTGTAAGAGCGTAAAAATGATATGAAGTATGTATGAAAGGTACAGAAATAAAAAAGAAAAATGAATAAAATATACATAGCGTCGTGCGGAATATTTTCGGAATACAATTCACTTACCACTTCTCCGTTGCCTCCATCCCATTTAGAACAACACGTATGTAACACGTGACTACATGCCAACTGGTAACCAGGGGTAACTACGATTTCCCCCGGCTGTGGAGTGTGAAAGATTTTTACAATGTCCGGGCCAGCAGCAGCGAATATGGCTTTTGAACAGACACCCTGGGAGCTAACAAGTGTATGGGCCTAAAAAAACAGAGTTATTTGTTACGCGTTCAGTTAAGTATCTTGGGCCACGCCACGAATAATAAGGAAGAGGGCAGGGGGCGTAAAAGAGAGGAGAGGTTTATCAATTTTTTCCACTGAAAAGGGGGAGGGACTTGTTTGAGATGAAGCGCTTAATACGGGATTTTGGTAATGGATTGGCGATTAAAAGATCGAGAGCCGGGTAGTACAAACTTTCTAGTTTCCTCGACCCTTACTAAAAGCAAGATAGGGTGGGGGGCGGCACATGGGAGACCCCATCAACATCTCGAAAAATTTTCCCGTGTAGAGCAACAAAAAAGCGAAATCGCATACCCCGGAGCGAGCAACTCTAATAATAGGCTACGTCACGGTGTTTTAACGAGTGGTTTATTCTATGTTAGAGCACCTTTTCAAACTCCAAAAAGGAATGGTCCCCTTCGTTTATAATTGTATTCGACGTATGAAATATTAAAAGGAAAACTTAACTTCATTAAAAGGTCAAAAATACCATTTTGAGGTCTGTAGGTTTTGCTGACTGGTTTGTGGGACTAGAAGGCTATTCTAAATTCGCGCCAAAATCGTTCTAAAAATAAACTGGTCGGTGAAAACACGCTTACGAGCTCGAGTACATGGAAGTTGTTTGCTCCGGGTTATGTGCTCCTGAAAAAAGGTAACATTAGGATGCCTTCCCCTTCGTCTAACGAGTGATTAAAGTTTAGTGATACGTTTCTAAGTACAATCACGAATCACGAACCTGTTCAGTGGCGATATCTCCAACCTTCCAAGAGACCTTGTGTCCATGTTGTGTAATTATGACGAACGAATCCGCTGACTTGACGCTTGGGTTGCCGCCATTGGCTGAAACACCCGCAGTGCCAAAGGACGCGTTTGGATCCGTGGGTGTTGCTTCTAATCCACTTGTGCTAGAACTAGAAGACCTCTTATGAAGATATTTTTTTTCAAGGCGTACGTAACACTTCTCTTCATTATTGACAATCCTGGTCAAACTATCTAATCTGCCATTTGCAATGTAGGTTGCGATCCCGGGCTGTTTGAAGTCATAACTGTCACAGACAACTCTGTCAATGAGAGTTTCAACCATCTCCACCGCATCTGCTAAGCCTTCCCCTATTCCCGTTAAAAAGATCTTGTCCTCGGCTCTTCTTTCTTCGATCACAACACAGCATCTTCTAATTCTTGCTGTCCTTTCTATAGCTTTGAGCTGCTGCTGACGGAATTGTGCTATGAACTTGAGAACGTCCTTCGAACATGGCAAATACACAGTCTGGAGCGTGCCACCATCTTGTATGCTCTGAGGCCCGCTCACCAACATTCCGAACGCGTATTAATCGACGCTCTATACGGAGAAAATGGAAAAGTGAAACGTAAGCCACTCAGTGGTTTAAAATATGTGTTTTTCTTCACTGCTCAGAGCTTGTTCTAGGCATTCAGATAGTGGACCGCGCGCGACAAATTGACGAAGAAAAAAAGCCGTGTGTTAAATTTCCGCATTCGCTTGAGCAACTTTCTCCTCAAGGCTTTTCACTTAGAAAATGTAAAGGGTTACGCTTGATTCACAGGGTAAATTGTTTTAAAATTTCTAAGTGTTATCAAAATTTGATTTACTGCGAATAATAGACGCGCAGTTTTCGTTTTCCCGTGACAGATCGCCCACAGTGATCCGTTGCACAGAGCCCTAGAAATGAGCTTTCCTTTCAAGTCATCATCAATCACATTATGTCAGAGGCCTGTTTCAGACGTCGTGCTGCTGCCGTGCCGAACTAAATTGATCGAATTAAATTCGACTTTAGCACGGCAGTAGCGCGAGGTTTGAAACCAAGTCGTGCTACTGCCGTGCCGACCTCAATAATTATTAATAAATTATGAATACATTAGAATACATTTAAAAGTTTGCTGAATCGTTTCTTTGTTTTTGTGTTTCGTTTTCGGTAAAAGCCGTTCTATTCGACTGAATTAAA